CACTCTTTCTCTCTCTCTCTCTCTCTCTCTCGCACTGTCGCCTTTCTTTTTATTCTGCACGATTTCCTGGTAATTAATACTACGATCTCGGTTTATAACTTTTCTCTTCACGTTAGTTCCACCCTCGCGCAACGCTAAATACCTTTTCCATATATTTCTCCGTTTTTATTATCGATCATCTTTGTTTCTCTTACTCACCCTTTCGTTCTGTGTTTCGGTTCTTTGTTTTAACACACACACACGCGCGTCCTCTTGCTCTCTTCATACTCTCCCTCATTCGCACTCAATTACCCTCTTCGCGTTTCCCCGTTTTCTTTTTTTTTTTTTTTGAATTTTCCACAATACAGGATGGCACCGGAACCGTTGATTCTCGAAGAAACGATCATCGTGGTCGTAATTTATGGTTGCTCGTTTCGTCCGCGACCATCCTGCGATACACACGACGACTGCTTCGACTGTTAAATTTCTCACTCTCACTCTCTCTCTATCTCTCGCTCTTCCTCTCTCTCTTTGTCCAAATTTTAACGAGGAATCTCTTCGTGTTTTCTTTTTCCTTTTTCTTCTCTCTCTCTCTCTCTCTCTATATATATATATAATATACTTTATAAAATACATTAGTTTACAAACAACGTGGATTAAGTGCCGACGTCCCGCGGAAGTTATCACAACTCGGACGCTCTCGATCGTGGAACGGCTATCGACTTTAAAAGAAAAAAGGAAAAAACACTCTACCCGGGCGTGAAACTAGTGGAAGAACTCTGTCTATAGCTCTCGAGAAAAAGAAAGAAAGCACACATTTTGCTCGCGTCGTTCGCGCGCTACCACTCGCTCGATAAATATCGCCTTGAACAACGCCGTTATTTCTTTTTTGTTTTCAAACTTCGAGTCTCCGGCACGTACGATTCTTCACCCTTGCTCTCTCTTTTTTTTTTTTGTAATTTTTAATTTTTCTCCCTCTGCCTGCTTCGTTTCTTTATTCATAGGACGAGAAAAAAACAAATAAAGGACAAACAGTGCTCGGAGGTGGTGTCTCAGGGTAAAAACAGGATCGCGTTAAACGGAGCTGCGCAACCGACTGGCAGAGACGTCGATCGTTAGAACAATAAGACTATCTTATCGTGCTACATACATATTTACAAAGCCTCCGTTCACGGAGGCAACACACCCTCTCTCTCTTTCTCTCTCTCTCTCTCTCCTCTCGTCGATTTTATTCCCTGAATCCGAAACGTGCACTAAACGCAGGAAGCAAACGGGAAGGCATTCATTCAAGGGGCAAGCTCCTCTCTCTCCTGCTGCAAATAATTCGTCTCGTTTCTCTCAGACGCGAATCTTCTCGCGAGTTAAAATAAATATCGTTCAACTACGCGCTGTTCGTTGCTTGAAAACAAGAGGAAAAAACACCGCGGAGAAAAAAGAAGAGATTGGA